AATAGGTGTCTTCGTTCTCGCTTTGCTAGGATTTCGCCTCACGGCGAACGCTAGCCTCTGCTATGGCATTTTTTCGCTCAGTTTTTGAAAAGCTTCGTCGAGCTGCTCGCGGCGTCGAGCTTCGTCATCTCTTTCGCAAGCTTTGACGACGTCGATTGCGCACTCGTAGACGACGACGGACGTTGCCTTTGCTTTCCTTGTCAGCTTCTTGGGCGTCTCCATGCCGCTTTCTGCGCGCGGTCGTCTTGCGGTCAAGTTACGATAGTTCTGCGCAGTTCTTGTGCGCAGTTTTGCTCCAGACGAACCGAGCCAGATAACGCCAACAACTTCCTCGCTTATCTTGTGAGGGAGATGGCCTCGACGCTCCTTTCCTATGCAAATGCTCTAACCGACGACTTGCCTATTCCTGCTCGTGCCCCTCCTCAAGGTTCAGAATCTCCTTTTGCTATTGGTAAGTCCTGTAATGTTCCACAATCGTGCCACGAGGCTATTGAAGGTGGCAGTGATCACACTTTTATTATAAAACTTCAAAAAAAATGGGAAGCATGTACTTATTTTCACTGAGGTTGAAACTGGTATTCTAGCGTTCTCTTGGCGTTTTGCTATAGTGGGGAAATTCCTTTATGGTCTTCCAAAATTGGAGATCATTAGGAAAGAAGTTGATGTTATGAAATTATTGTGCAGTTGGAACATTGGTCTGCTAGATGGTCGACATATACTTATTCAACTATCTCACGATGCCTATTACACTCGCATTTTCTCTCGAAAAATTATCAAGATCGACAATCGTTTTATGAAAATTCTAAAGTGGACTGTCGGTTTTGATCCAAAAGTGAAATCCCCTATCATTCCAGTTTGGATAAAGTTTCCAGGGTTAAAATTGCATCTGTTCAACATAGAAATCTTTTAATCTTTAGCAACTGCTTACGGTAAGCCTCTCAAGGTGGATAGTCTCACGCTTGCTGTCACCAGACCCTCCGTGACTTCTGTGTTAGTTGAGAGAGATATCACTCAACCAGCTCCAGATGAGATATGGATTGACACTATTCACAATGGGTATTGGCTAAAGGTTGAGATAGAACCACATTCTCCTTATTGCTCTCATTGTAGTATGTTTGGCCACAGTTGTACTATTTGCTATCGCTTGCATTCTCATCTAAGATCGAATGTCACTGAGGATGAGTCATCTACCATCTTTGCTTAGAAGATCCAATCCGATCCTCTTTCCAACATCGCAGTTCCAGATGAAGAACACCTTACTACAAGTACAAATCTAAATGTGTTGATATCACTTACTGTTATTGAAGAAAAAGACCCACTTACACGTCAAGACACACGAGAGTGCTGTTTTGACCCGATAGAAGATCAGCTGGTACAACAAGTAGTTACTTCTAATGCTGAACAACCTACACATATCCTGCACACTTCAGACCATCTGCTGATCAGGCGAGCCAAACTTCGGATGAGGAATGACAGGTCTATACGAGGAAGAAAAAGAACGGCGGACGACTCGAGCTAGGGAATCTATTGGATGATACATTGGTTACTACTGACAATGACACTCATCTGACCAATTTATTAGGTGACTCCTTTCCTAGAACTAGAGGCTGAGACTGAGGCAAGGCAAAATCGGGTCGCTCTCTAGCTACCTGATACTTTAATTTTGGCCCTTTTTAGTTTTTTATTTAGATCTCTTATGTATTTTATTGTATTATTTCTTTTATTTAGAACCATTTGATTTGGTGGTTTTGTGTGGACTGGGTGCCATGTTTGGGACCTTCCACAAAATCTATCTATACCCTACCTTTTATTTAATATATTAGCTTATATATATATTCTCTATTTTTCTTTTTTTTTGTGCGGTACATGGGTCTAGAAGATTTTATTCCAATATTTTCGCTTCCAACTTACTCTTTGTACTAAATTGTTTGCATTTTTATTTTGGTGACTTTGAACAAGAAAATTTTGCAACTGTAATGTCATCGGAGATGAGAGTATTGCAAGTTCAGTGGTGGTACAAACATGTTATTGCTGCAGTGTGTGTTTAATTTACTATGCACAAAAATGTGAATTAAGGTTTTTTATTTATAGCTTATCCTTGTATTTTATGTTGAAATTAAGTCTTATTTTAATCTTTGTTCAAAACTTTTAGAATTACGTGGAAGAAAAAATTGTGATGTACTCTTTGCAATTATTATAGAAATAATTCTTTTTGCTGCTCTTGTTGTAGGTGAGACGATCTTGGTGAACCTCATAATTTATTATCTTATGTGTTGGATTTTTTTCAAATTTTTTTATGCTTGCTTTTGCTTCTCAATTTTTTCAGTAGTTAATGGATTATTATATTTTGCTGGCTGACGATTATGATTGGGATGGTTGACATGGAATAAAGATGAGACTCTTTTTTTGCTCTCCTTCTGGAATTGTTCTCTCTTTTGGTTTTTATTTATGGGTCTCTTTATCTCTTTTTTCTCTACCTTCATCTTTTTCTTCTTGAAGAATTCATTCATTTCACCTTCTCATTCTATTTCTTCTCTTAACTACCTTTGTTCATGCTTTAAACTTGTTTTTTCCCTTCTCAATAATCAAGATATTACTAATTCACCCATAATTTTTGCTTTCTGTACCCAGCTCGTTGTCAATTACAGCGACATAGTGGAAACAGGATAAAATGGGAATATAAACGTTTTTTAGTTTTGTCAATTTTTATTTTACCTAATCTTTTTTCTCTTTGCCGCGTATTTGATTGAAGGAAGATTTACATACGTACCACTCAATTCCTATTTATTTACACATTTTACGCCTAAACTTCAATTTTTACGTACATATTTCCTTGCCTATGAATGAAAGGTGTATTTCATCTTTTAAATTTTAAAATGACAGTATTTCTTATGTTATATTAAAATTTGGGTGGTATAAATGTCAAAAAGAAAAAAGTTTAGGTGTGGTATGTATTTAAATGCCCCTTGATTTAATTCCTTCTTTCTGGAAGACACTCTTTCAACATATGAATGCACTTTGGATTGTGCTGAATTCCAAGGACTGTATTCTAGAGCTCTTGTACATGTGCGGTGCCTTTATCATTGTCACTGAAAGGGACTTATTAGACTTTTGCTGAATATTTGGGACAGTATGCTGAAATTGTCATGGTCCCATTGTCCATGTTTAACTAGATTAATGTTAGCACGGTTTTGTCATCTTGTTTTTCCCTATGCTTCTGAAGCTGCCTGAATGTCCTTATCCTTATCATGTTAGAATATATGTTGTCGGTAAAATACCCAAGATTGTGTTTTTCATCTAAAATTAAACTTAAATGACATTTTTTAGAGGATGCTAGATTATCTCTTCAATTATCTTGAACCTTATGATGGATGTGTTTCTGCAGTATCATTTAGCCGGATTGATCCAGAAGGAAAATTAGTCATGGGCTTCAGAAAGGCTGCAAACTTATCTAATAATGAGCAGGTTTGTGATTATCAAGCACCAAGATTTTTCATAAATAAGTTTAGGACGACATCTATTCGGTATGATAACCATAAACATTGAAGTTAAATAAAAAAACAAAGTCATCTTGTTTTAGTAGTTTTAGTTATTTACTTGGTACAATATTGAATCCTACTTCATTAAAATTTCAATGTAAGGAAACACTTATAAAATTATGCTATCCTTTAAAAAATTCAGTGCTCAAGTTCTAATTAATCTTTTGGGTTATTTGGGATCATTTTCCCCTTTATTTTTTGATTTTACTTTTCTTTCTGGAGACATATTTGATTAGTGAATTTTTCCATAAGCTTTTATTTTCTTTTTTTAAAAACCAATCAATCTATTTTATTAAAAAAAAATAAATTTTTCGTGTTTTAAAAATTACCACCTTGGTAGCCATCACTTGCCGTCGTAGATTATCTGATACTGGAGTTAACTCAAGCAATAATAGGAAAACTGAATTTTATTGCTGAATTCAAAATGGCTAAATACAATTGCACTAACGTAAAAAAAAATAGCAACTAGACAATGCAAACTCAAACTAGACGATAGATCCATGGATGGTGGTTGTGGTCGGTGATGCGGGCGGCCGGCTAGCACTACTAGTAAATATGCAGTTCAATTCCAATAAAAATAAATTCAATATAAATAATTTTATCTTTTAAATTTCTTAAGCTGCCAAACCCATAATAATAACCCAAGTACACGTATCAATCAAGTAATAAATGACACTAATGGAGTCCTGAGTATCGATCCCACAGGGAGTTGGAAATTCTTATGGTTATGAAGTCAAACATAATATTCAAACTATAAAACTTAAGTAGGCAAAATAAATCCAAAGTAAATTTAATGTGCGTTAAATGAAATGCAGTTGAAAGAACTAAGTTAACTAAATTAATTGCTAAACTTCAAAAGTAAACTTATAAATACTAAACAAAGTTTTGAAACAAAGAGTTCAAATTTAAGAAAGCATCATTCACCTTTACAATGAGTTTATGGAATGTGAAGAAATATATATATATAAAATTATATTGTGTCAAATATGAGCAATCTTATTCTTTACCTTCTGAGAGTGCATAAAGAACATTGACTAATCCAGAGTTTGGTCCATAAATCCGTGGTTTGGTTGAGAGGATACTGACTCTCACTCCAGAGCTCACTTTTCCCTCGCCTGAGGGCTAAAAATCTCGCTTTAGTTTCCAAGCAACTGGACTAAATTGAGGATTTTAATCTATCACCATTAAATTTACAATTCTGCGCTCAACAGTATGTTTCCTTATTTATTTTCACGCAATCTCATGAATTATATTCTCACCCATAAAATTTAATGCGACTCTTACCTTTTTGTAGAAAACATAGTCCTTTCGGATCGTATGTTTCTCAATAAATTTTAACCTTCCAATTGACCAGATCGAAAAGTAAATAAAGATCAAAGTTCGAATCATCATAATTTATTGACATTTAAAACCTTACAAAATAAAACTAATTCTTCATAAAATCATATCTCATTATAGGGAGAAAGATAAAAAAGACTATTCAAAATTCATGAGAAGGATACGATAAAACACAAATTTCATATATAAAAAAAAGTTTACAAAACAACGAAAGAAAATAACACAACTTATCTCGCACTCATTCCCAAGCAAATTCCTAGAAGTTCTTTTTAAGTATTTTTTCTCTTTACAATCACACTCAATTCTTTTTTAGAATTGTAATGAAGAAGAAATCTCTCACCTTCTCTCTCCTCTTGCAATCTTAGAAGAAAATATTCCCTTCTCACTCACGCCAAAATCTCTCTCTATCCCACACCCCCTCTCTTTTCTAGACTTCTCTCTTTTTAATTAGGGCCCCAAAAGGAATTCAAAATTCTCTCCAATTTTTCCCCCAAAAGTCACCTTTTTACACCAAGAGATAAGTCATTTTATCCAAGAGACATATCTCTTCATTAAAGAGTCTTTCAAAGTGTCTGGATGCATTGAACCACTCCATGAGACGTTTGAAATGTTTGGAGCCTTCAAAAACCGCTCAAAAATAGTCATTAACTGACTTACTCCATCTTAATTTGTCTCTGATGCTTTTGACACCAGCCTAATGAGGTCCGCGCTGTTCTCTGGATTTTGGTGCCTTTAGTGCCACTTCTTTGTAAAATGGCACCTCGGGCGCCAGTTTCTAGAGCTTCTGGCGCCAGTTTCTGGTGCTTCTGGCGCCAGTTCTCAGGAAAATGACGTCTCTAGCGCTAATTTGGCGCCAGGATCGCGAAAATCTCCATTTTGGCTCCAAATTTCTTTACTTTTGCTACTTTTTGCTCCAAATGCCTAAAATTGCTACTTATTTTTGCTACTTTTTGCTCCAAATGCCTAAAATTGATATATATGTAACAAAAATATGAAAATACCCTTCTTTAAAGTGCTATATTACCAAAATAAGAATAAATATATACATAAAATAGTATATTATTTTAGTGTATCAGTCGACGAGGGTTTGGACGTTGGCGTAGTGGTAGAAAAGGCATTTGGAAAGCATAAAATAACATAATGGTTGTTCTGGTTCCGAACAAGTAAACAATTGGGAGCGATGTAGGAGTGTTGTCCGGGGTGATTACTGGAAGGATGGAGGACTGAAATGGTGGCAATAGCAAAGACGAAGGGCTGCGGTGATGACGGGGGTTGCGGTGAATTGCAGGACAATGGAAGGGTGGCTGTCTAGGAGGACGGCAATGAGGAAAATGGAAAATTTTGGGAAGAACAACTAAAGGCTACTGTCCAGGAGACTGCAACAAAGAGGAATGTGTGGTAGCGAAGCGGGAGGGATACAAAGGAGTTAGGGAAGGGTAAATCAACACATCGGAAGTGAGATTCAGTCAAAGCACCACTCAACCCTCGGATACATCTTTAGAAGGGAGAAACAGATGTCGGTGTTTTTGTTAAGCAAACTCATGCAAAAATTGATTTCCAAACACTAACGCAAAGCATATGTAGGAAGTGAATAAAAAAGAATGAAGGATAATAGGAAACAAAACAGAAAAAAAAGAGTGAAATAATTAAAAAAGAATAAAAATGAAAAACAGGACTTATTGTCTCTCCTTTCTCCCGTAACTCTTTCACGATTTTGTGGAACGTATGAGCATCGCCACACACCAGTCTCCGGGGATTGGGGGAGTTTTGACCTCATTTATCGATGTTTTTGTCTGCATGTTGAAACTAGCGGAGTTGCAATAACTTTTCGAGGTTGAGGGATCTTTTACTATGACCAAAGAAGCACATTGTTCCCATTATCGATTGCGTTATCTCCTAAAACATCATAGAAGTTTTCTCTACGTACTAGCAATCATCTATATCAATCCACCTACATGAGGGTGCACTATTGAATTGAACTAAAATTTTGTGCAAGTTTATCGTCGGCTCAGTCCTATTTGATGCAAGAGCAGACTCAACTCTCTCTAATGGTGGTGTCCATGATGGTAAGATATCGATCATGATGTCCTGACATGCTCTCTATAGTGACTGTCCTGTATCTGGAATCGATGCCTCTTCCTTGCTTTGCTCTATCATTGCCAAAAAAGATTCTATTGGCATTTCCCTACTGGCAAAGGCATTTGTAATCTCGGATTTTGTATAAGCTAGAAGGAATATGCGTTTTCCATCCTTGGTGAAGGAATATTTATTCATGAACCTGTCAAGCTGAGTCCGATGATTTATTGCCACGACCTCCTTAACAAATGATGGAAAACATACATGAGTACTATGTCACACTGATCTTATAGTTGATTCCTAATAAAAAATTTCACAAGACATCTTTTGTTAATGCTAACTCTGTTCTACTTCCTAAACCATGTTAGGGAGTAATGCTGAGTGTCTCTGATTCGGGAGACTCAATTTGTTCACCATTTGTGTAGTTGCCACATTCTTGTTGCTCGCTCTATCAATGATAAGTCTACATACCTTTCCCTTCACAGGACAACAGGTGTAGAATATGTTGTGGCGACGCCACTACTGATCCCTCCAGTGGAAGTTGGTACTCATTTTTTTCCTCAGTTGCTTCTTCGTCGCTAACTTTCTCTACTGCACTCTGTTCGATATAAGACAACTTGGCCCATCGGGCAGCCAGAGATGATGTGTTCAAATCCATTACATCTGAAACATTTTCTGGCTGAGGTTATAGTGGGCTTGCTACTTTCCTCAGTCCTCTTCTTACTCTGAGTAGCCCTTTCCTTCTTTCTACCGGTCTTCTCAACTCCCAGAGAGGTGCTTCTACTAATGTCTCGAATTGCGGGTGGTTGTGTAAATGGTGGTGGGTGCCTACTTTGCTTCTTCAATCTCTCTATTTTCAGTGCCGAGGTGAGAACGTTACCCAAAGAACAATAAGGCTCTAGCTGGATCATGTTATTGATGCCCGGCTTCTTGCCTTCAAGTATTTTGTTATCGTGTGCTTCTCCAGTTCCGTGAGACCATATTTCAGCTTATGTTGTATAAAATATTTTGTGTACTACTACTCCATTGATAAGTGCCTCTGTTGCAGGTAGTGGAGCTTTAAGAAATTATCCTGGTTGTAGTTGTGGGCTTCGAAGATTTGAAAAGCACCTCAAACTCTCTTCGAGAGCTTAACATGGTGTTTGTTAAGTTTCGGGTCAAATTTTCAGAAGGCAGATGAGATGGTAGGTAAGCCGTTACCCAAAGATTTCGCCCTCATTTTGCGAGGAATTTAAGATTTGGGCTTCAAGGGTTCTCATACACGCAAGCCCCTATGATTAATAACCCCTCACGATAACGTGAGAACACTTTCAATTAAGACTAGTCATCAGGCGCTAAAAATTCAGACTTAACATGTATTGGCAACAAATTTGAGAATTTAAATTACAAAAATTACCACCGTGAGTTAAAAGCAGATGGTGGGGAAAACAACGAAGAACCCGATCAAAATTTTATGGTTTTGTCATCTTAGGTTGTCAGGGTCCCGGGTCTACTTAGTTAGCAGAGGTAGTC